ATGGCGATGGTGGGGCGGGAAGGAGGCTCGAGAGGGAGGGTATACATACACATATAGCTGACTCATTGCTGTACTGCAGAACATTGTAATTATACTCCATTTAAAAACAAAGTAACACCTTACTTTAGAATTGGAATGAAACGAAGATAATGTTTTAGAGTTGTTTAGTCACTAAGTCATATTCAACTCATTCGGGACCCCATGGACTGTAGCCCACCAGGCTCCTCTGTCCACAGGATTCCCAGGCAAGAATACTGGAGTGGGCTGCCATTCCCTTCTTCAGGGGATCTTGTTGGCATGGATTCTTTACCATTGAGCCACCAGGTACACAATCACTTAAATGAGAAAATGAGAAGACCTGAAGGTCACAATGAGGAAGAAACGTCACTAATTTGATCACTCACACAATTCCTTTAAAAATAATGCAGCAGACAAAAATGGAAATATAGATCAATGGAATACGATAGAAAGCCCAGAGAAACCCACACACCTATGGTCACCTAATCTATCACAAAGAAGGTAAGAATATACAATGAAGAAAAGACAGTCTCTTCAATAAGTGGTGCTGGGGAAACTGGACTGTTACATGTAAAAGAATGCAATTAAAACACTTCCCAATACCATACACAAAAATAAACTCAAAATGGATCAAAGACCTAAATGTAAGGCTGGACACTATACAACTCTTAGAGGAAAAGATAGACAGGATACTCTTTGACATAAATTGTAGCAACATCTTTTCTGATCTACCTCTAAGAGTAATGAAAGTTAAAACAACAAAAAATAGGACCTAATTAAACTTAAAAATTTTTGCAGAGCAAAGGGAACCATAAACAAGACAAAAAAACAACCCTTAGAATGGAAGAAAATATTTGCAAATGAAGCAACCCACGAGGTATTAATCTCTAAAATATACAAACAGCTCATGTAGCTCAATATCAGAAAACAACCCATTCAAAAAAATGAGGGGAAGCTAGAAACAGACATTTTGCCAAAAAAGATATACAGATGGCCAACAACCACATGAAACATGCTCAACATCATTAAATATTAGAGGAATGCAAATCAAACTACAATGAGGTATCATCTCACATTGGTCAAAATGGCCATCATCAAAAAATCTACAAACAATAAATGCTGGAAAGTGTGTGGAGAAAAGTATGGCAGTTCCTCAAAAACTAAAAATAGCGCTACCATATGACCCACCAGTCCCACTCCTGGGCATATACCTGGGGAAAACCATAATTCAAAAAGATACATGCACCCTGATGTTCATTGCAGCTATTTACAACAGCCAGGACACAGAAACAAATGTCCATCAACAGAGGGCTGGATGAAGATACTACATATATACAATGAAATATTACTCAGTCATAAAAAGGAAGGACACTCTGCCATTTGCAGAAATGTAGACGGACCTAGAGACTGTCACACAGAATGAAGTCAAAAAGAAAAAATGTCATATTAACACCGATATGTGGGATCTCAAAAATGAGACACACGAACTTATTTGCAAAGCAGAAATAGAGACACAGAGGTAGAGAACAAATGTGTGGACACCAATGGGGGAAGGAGGTGGGATGAACTGGTGGTAGGTGGGAGACTGGGATCGACATTTCTATATACCTTGCACTGTATCAAATAGATAACCAACGAGAACCTACTACAGAGCACAGGGATCTCTACGCAGTGCTCTGTGGTGACCTAAATGGGAAGGAAATCCAAAAAGAGGGGATGTATGTATAACTGATTCACTGCTGCATAGCATAAATTGATACAACATTGTAAAGCAACTATTCTCTAACAAAAATTTAAAAAGTGATGTGGCAGAGATGGCAAGATGTTCCCTAGTATCCATTGCCCATTTCTTCTATAGTAGTAAGATTATAGGTGGTTGAGTGATTGCCCAGAATTAAAACCTCAAGGCCTCTCCGGTGGTAGGAGAGCTATGTGACCAGTATCCACTATGGAGATGAACCAGAAATGTGGGACGGCAGCTTCTGGGTCTCAGAACACCCTGCTCTCTTATTTTTAATCCTTTCATCCAAACTGCTCTTGGAAACATGGATGATACAGAAGATGCAGGAGACCTGGGTTGGATTCCTGGGTCAAGATCCTCTGGAGTAGGAAATGGCAACCCACTCCAGTATTCCTGCCTGGAAAATTCCATGGACAGAAGAGCCTGGCAGCCTACAGTCTGTGGAGTCGCAAAGAGTTGGACACAAATGAGCACATACACAAAGCATAAAAGCATGTTTTCTTTTAGATTCTTGAATATTCCCGAGCAATAGTGCTCCATCTAGAGGAAAAAGTAGGTAACAGGACATACATACGTGCACGTGTGCAAAAAAGGAGAACAGAAAACAAGTGACAAGACAAAATAATAACAAAAATTGAGTAAAATATGATGTAAAAATAATATTCAAGTTTTTCCTCTCCTTATTTAATGTATAGGTAAGTAACAGTTAAAATTTGGGTGTTAACTAATGGAAACTTTATCAGCCCTATCTACCATATCAGTTTTATAATGATTTCTACATAGCCTTGACCCCATCATCTCTTATACAGTCTTATTTTTCTTTAAGGAAAATTAGTAAACTATGCATCTCCTACTTTATTCCTCCAGATTCATATATACTGCCACCTTGTGAATGCAATTAGATATGAGAGTGACCATAAATTCAGGTATTAATTGATAAAGCTAATATTTTGCTTTTAACTGTTCTAGGCATAAGCAAATCAAATTTGCAAATGTGAAAACTAGGGCCTGATGACCACACCTGGAAATGACAGAAGAATGAACAGTTGAAAAACTGATGTCTCTCACAATTCTTGCAATATTGAGGAATATCTTTATTAGTATTACTGCTGTTATTATTTTAATTAATTTTTTGAACCTGAAAAAGATGATTCCTTACCACAGTGGAAAGTATTTGGGACCTAAAGTTAAGAGACTCAGGTTCTAAGGCTCAGCATGTTGTCTTATAGCTCCAGACTGGGGGAAAATCTACTTAGGTTTTTATGAGTCAGTAGTTTTTCTGTGTTACAAGTAAATATAAAAGGAATTTGTTTCTAAGATGAAACAAAGTGTGCACAGAGTTATTATTTCTAGGGAGAAAGGAATAAGATGCTGCATGAATCAAAGTCAAGAAAATCTGCTTTAAGATGGCTTGGTGTACCTAAGCAAGGACAGTGGTATATTTTTTGCAAATATACAGACTTCCCACAATGGGGTCTCAGGCAAAGATAATCTCTAATAAAGATGTCTCAAAGATCTTTAACATGAAAGCCTAATGACTTGATTATAGTGACATGTTTCAACCATTACTATCTCAAATCCATTTTGTTCAAAATTCTCTTTCCACTGAAAGTTATCTTAAAAAAAAAACAAAAACCTACTTCAAATATAATTGTTCTCAGGTTTGTGTTGAATCCTCTTATCTGCAATTGATTTTTCCCAGTAGCTCAGACAGAAAAATTCCAAAGGGCCCACACAATGCTCCAAGTGAGTTCTCTGTATTAGAAATATCATGTGTGGGGATGAGAATTTCTGATGCTGTCTTTGTGGGCAGAGCAGTGTGCTTTCCATTGAACACTACCAGACTGGAAAACTGTAAACCAAATGGGCTGAAAGCATATTCCAGACACGGACGTACTGGAATCCAAGTGGAGGCTTTGTACGGTGTTCAGCAAAGGGGAAGAAGGATGCCTGGGTGGGTGCTGATCACCCTTGTGTGCGGGGCTCTGGCTGAGTCAACAGGACAAGGCCAGGTCTGCCTGGAAACACACGATGTTTCCTTCAAAGTGAGGTACAAACTTTTCAAAGATGAAGTTCAAAGTTCAGTTCAAAGATGAAGTTCAAAGATGAAGATTCTCCCTCTTTTTCTAGATTATAGATTCAGAAGTGAGAAAAGAGAGGAACGTTTGCTTTTCTTTTTTAAGATGATGTGTTTCCAAATTTATTCTTGAGAAAAAGCCTTAGGGCCCAAAACGTAAACTGTTAATGTTTTTCATAGACTAATATGCAGGCAAGATTTTTTTCTTTAATTAACTGGAGATGCAGAAAATCCATTCAGCTGAAACTGGTTCATAGTATTCAACACATTTGAAGTTAATCATCATGGGCTGAAGAAGCAACTAGAAAAGCTGTGATTGCACATAAATTGTATGTTGTCAGTCAACTTCTTAATACGTGTCTCTCACGGGTCACTTCCTTTGTTTTGTTGCTACATATGGCTGATGGTAGAAAGTACTTGCTCTCTGGCCATCTTAATTCAGGAAGACACGTGTAGATGGTAGAGAGCATTCCAGATGGTGTGAAGAACCATGGAAAACAAAGCTGAGGGTCTTCAATCGCCCAGGTTCTAGTACACACATGGTGAGTATTGTAGTTTATTTTGAAACAGCAGGCTCATAACACTTACTAGTTCATATTCAGCCCTAACTAGAACCTCATAGGTATTAACTTATTCATTCATTCCACTGACATGCAATAAACATTTAGTGTCTAATGTGTGGCTGGCTACTGAGTTTATGAGAATCAGTGAAACAAACTCCTTTTCCTTGAAGAATTTATAGGATGGTGGGAGACTAGAAACCATAGATATAACTACAGTTAACTACATTATAACTATAATGGAATTGGGTGTAACAGAGAAACAGAAAAGTACATCATGTGGGTATTTACAGCACACAGGATGCAGGAATGAAATTATGTATCAACTTGGTGTCCTGACTGGGGCAGTTGCTTCTGGCTTTGGGTGGTTTGTGTCCCCCTCCCAGGCTGACACTGCTGGTAAATACATCAGACTCCAGACAGTGTTTTATGGTTGACTGAGTTCTAGACCCTGGATCAGACCTTTATCCCAGTTAAACCTGGCATAGAGATACTTGAGGTCCTCACCAAAATCTGATCAGATAGGACCTCCCATTGTGATAGAATGCCTGGAAAAAGCTCGTGCCTGGAAAGCCAGTCTTTCCCTTGAATGCGCATGGACGAGCAGAGACAGAATACTAGAAGAACCCAGAGCTTACCAACAAAGACGACTCTCACCTCGCAGTGTTGAGCTGGGGCATCTGGGACTCACCTTTTCAAGGGGGCAATGGATACTGTCTCGGAGAAATGGAAGCAAGTTGGGTCGGTCGAATTCAGCATAAAGGCTGATCTGCTTCTCATGGTAGCGCTGTCCCCTATGATGGTCTCTTTTGAAAAGCTTATGCAGGTACTAAAAACAGCAAAGGAATAAACAAGGGATATTAAAATATGGAAGTGATACCTGTTTACCATTGCTATTTTCAGCCACAGACAGGCTGGCGGAAAAGCAGTTTTTAGGAAAAATCTCTAGGAAAGGGGAAGTGGAAAGGAGACACCTTGGCAAAAGCAAGGAGGTGCTTGTACTTCCTAGAATGGCCCCGAGTGACCTGTTTCTGCCTCTTACCGACCATGTGGCCCTGGGCAGGTCACTAACCTCTCTGTGACTGAGTTTCTTTATTGGCAAAAATCTTCAGTTGTGAGGACTGAATGAGTTACCATTTGTAAATCACTTAGAACCACACCTGGCACAGAATAGGCACTGCAGAAATGTTAATGACAGGCACTGTTAATATTCTCACCATCATCTGCTTCACCTCAGAAATAAAATGCTTGATCAGTGGTGTTCCTGGATTGTAAAAATTCTCATCCTTTATATAAAAGGGGGTAGAGTCATGGCAAGAACATGTTCTTAAAAATAACTCCAGGAGCAAGTGCTAAATTAATTGTTGTATTTTTTAAATCTCCTGTCCTTAAGTTTTACTGAGATCTGTGTTTGCCATGAAATGCTGCCTCCACTGGGGACCTCAAAAAGTGAAAAAAATCAAGAAGAGTCAGGTGTTCTGAATCCATTTTCATAGCTGATTCCTTTTTCTGACTGAAAAAGTTAATGAACCTTCAAGGCAGTGAGTGATTCACTTTCTGTGAAGTAGTAGCAAGGATATCAATAGATTGTACAGAAGTCAGAAATCGATGTTCAATGTTTCAGTTCAGTTCAGTCACTCAGTCGTGTCCGACTCTTTGCGACCCCATGAACCGCAGCACNGTGATGGGACCAGATGCCATGATCTTAGTTTTCTGAATGTTGAGCTTTAAGCCAACATTTTTACTCTCCTCTTTCACTTTCATCAAGAGGCTTTTTAGTTCTTCACTTTCTGCCATAAGGGTGGTGTCATCTGCAATGTTTAGTTCATGTTAAATGGACACAAACACCCTAGAACCCACCCGAGGTGGGAAGACTTCATCACACCAAGTGCATCAGTGCATCTGCCCCCTTGATTGGATTGGTTCATTGACGCAGTGCATCAGCCTGCCCTGAAGTTGTGGACGGGGAATGAAGTTGCTGGAGCTTGACACTTGCTGTCATATACGGTCACTATATAAGCCCAACCAGGACACAGGCACACGGAGAAACCCCTCCTCGGGTTAACCGCTCCCCTCTCTCTCAGGCAAGAACTGGGGGCGTCCGAGAGAAGTCCCTGCTCCGATGAAGACTCCGGCCACTCCACTGGCATGGCGTCAGTGTAAGAGCTGACACTGCCGTTCCCCAGAGGTGCAGATGGGTTAAGAAGGTTCTGTCACATCTTTGGGGCAAAGGTAGAGAGACGTTTCTTTGCCTGACGGAGACGATGGGCCACTTCAGTGTGAGCGCTGCCACCATTCTACCACTGCCCCAGTGACACTGTCACTTGATCCCTGCCGCCTATAATCCTGTCTCATGGCCGAAGGAAGCCAGAAACCACTGCTTTGCAAACAAATTCCACAATGACCCACACAGAGGTACCTTGCCTGGGTAAGCAGATAATCTGGAGATTTTCAATCATGAACAACAGAGCAAAAAGCATTCAGAAAACCACTGAGCAAACAACCAAATGGACACCCACCCCGCCACCCCAAGTCACTTCACGTTCCTATACTGGAGTCTTCAAAAGCTTCAATGCATGAAAATGACTTATAAATGCTCTATTTCCTAACCCTTCTCCCAGGGTGCAAAGAGGTGCGCAAAGATACAACTGTCTTATATGATGCTCACAGGCCTACTGGAACAACCCCCGTTTTCACTGAAGACTTCTCTGGCATCATTTTGAAAGGACACAGAAAAACATCTCTTCCTGTTTTGCTCCCATGATGACAGCCATGCAGAGAATCAAAGGAGACCCCCAACAAAAGGAATCTAGAGAAATGGACCCCATGGCACCACCACACGACCACATAAGAAAATAAGGCACAGGCTCTGTCAAAAAACGAGGCTCTGCTCTGTGAGTGTTCTGTGTAGTGTTTCCTTAGCAGGAAAACTTGGTGTCCGTGGTGCACGGTCAGGGCACTGGCTTGGCTATAACTGATGCCATAATTATATTAAATGGTAACTAGAGAAGTGTGGGGGCTTCCCAGGTGGCTCAGGCGGTAAAGCATCTGCCTGCAACGCAGGAGACCTGGGTTTGATCCCTGGGTTGGGAAGATCCCCCGGGGAAGGAAATGGCAACCCACTCCAGTATTCTTGCCTAGAAAATTCCATGGACTGAGGAGCCTGGTGGGATTTTTTTTTTCTACAGTTGACAGAAGGAAGGTGCTTACTCCTAGGCACAGTTTGATAATTCAAAAATGTGATAACTTTTTTTTTAAATCACAATTCAATTGTGAGTCAAAGTTAAAGTTCCTGATCTATTATTAATTCCTACTCTGGATTCTGATCATCTGCTGCATTATAATAATTACAGAATATTGTTTGTGTTCATTCCAGTCTTCTCAAAGCAATACTGGAAGGTGACTTGCTGCTCTGTTCAATCAAAGGGCAAAAGAAGAGGACTGTCATGCTTACCACGTGCTGCAACTCTGGTCTGTCTTCTAATTCTTCCACTACTTTTTTAATCTATAGGAAAAAAAATTAAATGTAGAGTTATGAGGATACAAATACAGCTGTGAAATTATCTGATAAACATCTCTCTTCTTTATGGTGATAGTGGTCTTAGACACTCATCTGTTTCAATTCATATAAAGGCACTCACTGAAATTTTATCTTCATTGTCCAGAAGCATGTCAACAGCTTTCTGCAATATGAAAAAAAAACCCAGTCACTAAAATTTGCCACAGAAAAAGAGAACACAGAACATAATGTGTTATATATGGTATCACCATGAAAGGCAAAGGGCCTGTTTTACATGGATAAGAGGGTTCTTAGCTTTAGAATGGTTCTTGAGATATTTCAAAATGTATTTTAAAATTTGTTTCAATCTGCAGTCTCTGTGTTTTGCATACAACATAAAATGGTGCTGTGCTATAACTCACAATACAAAGCATTTGTATTATTCCCGGTACCCCAAAAAAAGAGCTTTCTTTCTGGCCACGTAAATATTGATGGAGTCCCTCTACAGATTCCACAGATATAAGGAGCGGGTCTTATGTGGAGAAGAGGATAAGACACACAACGGGGAATTAAAAAAAAAAAGACACCTGAAGCTTCATAATAGTATAAAGCTTACAGATTTATAGAATTGAGTTTAGCTACCTTTATCATTCATGAAACACAAGTTAGACTGTTTGTAACAAGAGGTGGTACCAGACTCAGCCTCATACAGAGTCCCTGGGTCTTGTTCTGGATTCTGCTATTACATTGCCTACCTGTCTGCTGCATTTTTTTCCTGAAACATTAGGATGTTGGAAGAGATTACCCTTAAGTTATTTTCTAATTAGAAAGTGATGTGATTCCTTGAGTTCATGCTCTTGAATAGCAATGAATTTGAACTCATTCATCTTTTGTCTCCAGCTTCATATGCAAAATAAGCTCTTGACACACATGAGGGGTGGGTCCGTCATAAGGGGAGACTGGTTATGGGAAATTAATTTCTACATAAGTTGTTCATCCGCTTCATCGTCTTCTGCCAGAGAAGCAGAACCTCTGCACCTGAACTTCCTAGGAACTGCACTATTTTTAGATCTGTACTCCCTAAGGACTTGACTCATTCAGTATGAAAAATGGGCTTTAGCATCTTCCATAAAAAGTAGATTTAGCTTCTATTTAAATTAAGTGTAAGTGTGTGAATTCTAATACACAGCATCTAATGGATACATAATATAGCACATAATACCCCTAGATACAGTAAAATAAAATTTTAAAAAGTCCAAGTAACCTTCATGGAACCTTAAGTGTTCTCCTCTGATTTATTTAAAATTTCAGCCTTTCGAGTAACAGCTACTGTGTTTTATGAATCTCTTTCTTTTCATCACTAGCACTTGGCATTAACTTTCTTTTTTAAAATACATACAAACAATTTGTATCACTTTACAAGACCCACTGTGAGATGTGGAGGCTGGGTGCCCTCATCAGACAGAAGTCAAAGTGTTAGTTGCATAGTCGTGTCTGACTCTTTGTGACCCCGTGGACTGTAGCCCTCCAGGCTCCTCTGCCCCTGGGATTCTCCAGGTAAGAATACTGCAGTGGGTGGCCGTTCCCTTCTCCAGGGGATCGTCCTGCCAGGAATCAAACACAGGTCTCCCACATGGCAAGCAGATTCTTTACCATCTGACCCACCAGGGAAGTCATCAGACAAACATCCCACTATTCAAATCCACTTTATTATGAAATATTACATCCCACATGTTCTGGCCTGAGCATCATCTGAGATCAATGGAAACTCCACATGCTAAAGTTGTGAATGCCAAAGAATAAAAGTGCACCAAACAGACCAGAATAGTTTACATACAGCTTGAATTCTGGGACATACAATTAAGAGGACTGAATGAGCTAAAGCATATGGCTAGTTTCTCTGTTCCTATGAATTACAATGAACTGTTTTACTAAAAAAAAAATAAAAATTACTTCACATACACACAACTTTAAAAGTTCCACATCAAGTTATGATTGCTTTACAGAAAAACTGCATCAACTAAAGGAGTCCTGAATGCCATCTACTAAAGGAACATCCAGCGAGGGTCAGGGTGTTCTGAAGAGTTAGCATACAACAGGTTATGTGATTTATTAAGTACTCCAGCATGTGGACAAATGTCTATTAAAAACTTGGGACAGCACAAATAATTTATTAGTAAAATAAGAAACACATTATAACTGATTCACTCTGCTATATACTTGAAACTAACATACACTATAAATCAACTATACTCCAATAAAATTTTTTTAAAACTAAAGAAATCTGAAAAAAAGAAAAAGAAACATTACCTCAGAATCAAAATCCATTAATAAAACAATTTTATCCTTGATAGAACTGAAAAGATTATGTTTGTGGATCAATTGGAAAACATCCTTATGTCTTAACGTTAGGTATATTTCCAAAGCATTGCCATAGTTTTTGTCATAGGTGTACCTGGTAAGACAAAAAGTTTTTAAATTAATGTTCATCAACACTTCTAATAAAACATGAAGATATACTCAATAAATCATGTTTTACTTTAATGAAAACTGAAAAACTTGTTCAGAGAGAAAAATTAACTTTATTTAGAAAAGTGTTCCTTGGGACTGAACTATATGTGACCAGTAAGTATTTCTTTCTCAGAACCTTGAGAAAATTTTAGAAAATTGAAAATATTCTATTGTCAATATTCTGTCAATATAGACAAAAACTAATTTCCTACAGAAAACTCTCAAAATGTTTTAGAGAAATTGATATATAATGAAATTATGACCCCAAATGAAGGAAATTCTTATTCTAGTAATAGAAAAATCAGTTACAATTCTTACAAGCAGTATTCAGCTGACAGATGGGTGATATTCCAAAAGCTTATCTGTAACGAGGTTGTATAAAATTCAAATGTGTTTTTGTGTTGAAACAATGTTTTTCACAATGCTTAATTTCGCAAGTCAGCTCCTAAAGGCCAACTGATGCTAAGCTGCATTGGGTCCATTATTAGTACTACAGAATTATCAGTACTATTAGTACAGTGTTAGTAACTAAAGAATCCAAGGAAAACTAGAACAATGTTTCCAGAAGAAAATGATTAGTATTCCAACTCATTGCCACAAACAAAACTCCTTTCATGGAAAGTCTTAAACAGACCTGAATTCTAGGCCTGGTCTTGGGCAAAAGAGGTAAGAGTGATGGAAGGATTTGTCTGAGACGGTGGGAGTGTGAGGAGGGACTGAAGCAGGACAGTCTTCCTGAGGTTAACTGCAGTGTGCTTCTTTTTTCACTAATCACAGGTCCTAGAGCACACGTGGACCTTATCCGTCTGCATCTCAGGCAGTTAGCACAAAGCCCAAGTCACTGAAAGTGCCCCAAAATACAAAAAGCATTGACCAAGCTTCCATATTCTGAGACCTGACTCAATGCCAAGCACTGCACTTAGTTCTTGATAAAGAAATTTCATGAAAACTAACCCATACGGAATTGCCCCGTGATCTTATAGATAAAGAGCCTACAGTTTAGGAAGTTTACTAACTTGCAGACCCAAGAATGACAGAAACCCGAGCCTCACTGGGAAAATGACTTGCTGCAGTAGTCTAAGACCTGGCATCCTTTCCTCCCCAAACAACTGCCTCCACCGAGTGGTGCTGACCAGAGTTCCTCTCCTCTGGGAAATAAATTACAATTATACAGTCTCACACATTTCCCTTACCGTACCTTCCAGCTGTACACTGGAGGCTTATGAAAAGTTTTCTACTAAGAGCGAATATAGGAAAATGGTACATACAAACTTGCATTCTCCCAATTCAGTTTGCCAGATCTAAAATATGAAAACTTTTCATGACGATTGATTTGGGCAAAAAAAAAAAAAAAAGCATTAAAATATACTCACAATTCTGCCAGGGTTTTAAGTAAGGTCCTGTTCTGACTATCTTTCTTCAGGTGATCCCGAACCGCTTGAACTATTACTGAATTGTTGTACAGATCTCCTGGCCATTCTCGGATCAATGTGGCAAAACCCTAACCAAGGGGTAAAAAACAGAACACTCTTTAAAAAGGAAAGAAATCCCAAGAATTCAAACAATGCCTGAAAAGTTTTCATGGAAAACACACAAAACCATTTTATGATGAAAACATTGGTCCATAAACATATCATCAGTTTTCAGACTATGGGTTTGGTGGTGGCAAGGGAGGCAGAGAAAGATCAAATATCCATTTCCATTGGCCATTCCTGAGAAGAGAAGTGGGCAGAACCATCCCTGCTCTTATTATTGGATGAAATGCACGAGGAAGTGGGGCCCTGGGGTCCTTCCATTAGGCACCACTGCACAGAGTTTAGGTCTACTTGCTCTCTCCTCATTGTGGACTAACTGTAACACCGGAAGGCATTCTTTGACATCTTACAGATACTGTCCAAGTCAGCTGCACAGCCAGCCCTCAGCACATGGCGGCTTTGCTCCCATGGTGGAATCACCCAGCATCCCACGTTCAGCAAGTTATCATCTCCATCTTCCTTCCACTGGGTGCCTCTAATTCTAGTTTTGTTTAGGGATTTGGGACTTTGGTTCAAGTCTTATCCCCTGCTCTTACCCTGACTCTTTCTGGATTTCAAATTCTGTGGTTCTCATAGAAAATTCCAGATCCCTTGATTAAATCCTGTCTCCAGTGCTGTGGATCCTGTCTCCAGAGCTTTCCAGTACTGTGAGCCAGTGTCCTGGGCAGCCTCTGCCATGATGATCCCTAACTTTAGCCCTTGTCACTCAAAGTGCTGGGGAGTAGTTTACTTACTGATCTTTGGCAACTTTTAGGGAAAAAAAACAAAACAAAACAAAACCAAAAACCTTAGATGTTTCTATAGATAGAAGAAATAAAAATATTCACATTATTGAAAAAATTATTAGTATTAAATAACTCAATGAATGCCTTAATGAGGCTTCCCTGGTGGCTCAGATGGTAAAAAATCTGCCTGCAATGCAGGAGATCAGGGTTCAATCCCTGGATCAGGAAAGTCCGCTGGAGAAGGGAATGGCAGCCCACTCCAGTATTCCTGCTGGAGAATTCCACGGACAGAGGAGCCTGGTGGGCTACAGTCAGACAGGACAAAGAGTCAAACACGACTGAGCGACTATCACTTTACTTCAGTGCCTTAATGAACTACTTTTAATTGGTTTAAATGATACTTAGAAATGAAAACAGCATGGTGCAATTTGCTTCTGTAAAGTACTAGGATTTGGTAAGGAGAAAAATCATGAAAGAGTCAGGAAAATAGTTTCAAGTCCAGTTTCTACTCAAGTATCCCCTGGGAAGGATGGCAAGAGATCAGAACAACAGGCTGTGTATTTTCTATTCAGACTGCAACTTTCCTTCATGTAACCCTGACTACAGTGTGATCTGTGAGATTTGGGAAGGAGAGTCACTCAGTAAAGAGGGCATATTTTATAAAACCACTGAATCACAACATTAAAATATTCTCTGAATCAAAATGATACTTTGGAGCAAGTACAAAGGATCAAGTTTCTATTTTCTTAAGGCTCTGTAATTTATAAGATTAAAAGAAAAAAGTCCTGACAAGATTTCTACCCCAATACTAGCAATTCTCAGTAGCCCTGAGACCAGGAATAATACTATTCAGGGAAAGATGAAAGCTTGGCTCCTTTTTTATTTTCCTGATTCAGTTAATAGCCTTGCAGCACTGCCAACTTCTAATGAAAATAAGACAAAATGACCGGTCACACTGTGTGATTAAAAACGAGACGACTCCAACATAAACTGAAATAAACACTTATCACATTTCACATTAGGCTATTCTCTGCTTAACTGATTTTATGTACCTCTGATTAAATTAAATCATTAAATATGTGATTAAATATGATGAAAAATACTGATGAAATTACCCTGAAGCTTTTATTAATAATTAGAAGATACAGTTATCAGGGAGTTATTGGGATCCAGTGGCAAAGTAAGAGAATCCCCTGGCGCCCATCAGAGGAAGTAAAAGGTTAAGGACTATTCATTAAACGAAATGCCACAAAAATCACCCCATTTTTATCATGCTTATATATGTTGTTAATATTATGAAGCAAGGCTTAACTATTTAAATAATTCTAGTAGGCTGTAAATTAAAAATTAAATTAAAAAATTTCAGTAGAAACTCCATACAAAGAAATCATGAAGCACCAGTACCTTCAAGAAAATACTTTTAATTTCATATATATTTTTATTATATTTTTAATCAATGTTTAAAAAATAATTTGCTTTTGGCTGTGCTGGGTCTGGCTGCAGGCTTTTCTCTAGTTGCAGAGTGGGGCTACTCTCTAGGGGTGGAGCACAGGCTTCTCCTGGCGCTGGCTTCTCTTGGTGCAGAGCATGGGCTCCAGGGAGCTCGGCTTCAGCAGCTGCCGCTCCCAGGCTCTAGCACACCTGCCCTATAGTTGTGGCTCATGCGCTCAGTTGCTTCAGGGCATGTGGGATCTTCCTGGACCAGGGATTGAACCTGTGTCTGCTACATTTGCATTGGCAGGCAGATCCTTTACCACTGAATCACCAGGGAAGCCTCTTATATTTTTATTTTTAACCTGACCTTTAGTACTATTTAGAGGCACAGAATTTTCATCCACATTACATGAGATCAAGTGTTGCTACACAACACTGCTATCTGATCAACTCTGTGACAGTTTAACTCAAAACTAAACATGAAACTGAGAATGATGGGAGCTAAAATATGAATTACTTACAAGAGCTTATGACAAAACCAAATTACTCATAAACTTCTTAATAATAATGATGAGGAAGATACCCTAAAACATTCAGCAAAAAAACATCTATAAGCTTTAAGTTATGCTTATTTCTTCCACTCACAGTCAAAAGTTTTCCAGGTATGAATCAACAAGATACCTTTAATGATATAGTATTTAAGAGTTTCTGGAAAAAAATAAGGGTTGAATCATGAATTGTAAGAGAATCACACAAATAATAAAATCGCTTTTTTCTACTGTTAAATTACTTTAAAAAGAGGACAAGTATACTAAGCTTTGGTATTTTGAAATAAAGTTCATATTCTTTCCATATTTTGACAGAACACTCATAATTCTTTTTTGGGGGGAAGATGTACAAAGATGGAATATTTATGACAATTATTCTAGGTACTCAGAACATACTGGAAAGAAACAGGAACAGTCTATTACATAAAGTCTTTTTTCACTGAAGAAACCTTTTCCAATAACTGCAGCCAATAATGACCTCTCCTTTTTTTATATAACACATTACTCTGCCTGTTTTACATATTTTCTTGTTACTTGAAGCTTATTTATATGGTGTCCCCAGTCTGTAAACCCACTGAAGGCTGGGACTGTGTGTTCCTCTTGGATCCAAATGAGTACTCAGCCCAGTCCTCGACCATGGTAGGTTCTAAAGATGTGTTGAATTGAACCGAATAGAAAATAAATAGGAACCATGCTCCTAGACTGCATGAGTTAGAACCTAGCATAAATGGCATACACTATTACCATAAACTCTTCTGTACAGATCTAGCAAGGAATAGATCCAGGCTGGGAGGGAAGACTGGATTATGACACTAGAACATATGCTAATAAGAAAAGAACATGAATAAATTCTGCCCCATTAGTATGTACAATTAATAAATAAATATTTTTTTCAATTTTAATTCATACTAAAGCACTTAATCCCTCCCTATGATAAAAATACAGGCTTATAACAGTAAAAGAGATACGCTGGTGATGCAGGCATTGGAATGCTTGAATTGAACATATCCAGGAACACTTGGCTGACAGCAACTGACCAAGTCCTTGTGTTAATAAAGGATTACAATCTTAAAAGTCCCTTTGGATCTTAAGCTCTAAAAATAATCTCAGAGTGAGAATGTAGTATTTGCATTATTACTTCTCTTTAAATGGACTCAGTTATTGGTTAAAAAAGTGCCCGAGTAGGCACTCAAAACACAGTTCTTTTTCTCATGCCCTCTCTGATTGCCTCTTTCTATATCTATTAACCTTTCTGCAAGCTACCACACATTCTTGTGGGAAGGAGGAAAGTTGTAAATAAAGTCTTCCTTATTTTCAAAATATAACATCAGAATGTGTGAAGGCAAGGACAACCCCTAACACACTGTGAGGTACCAAAAATGAAAACAGATCACTGGGTTCGGCTCCTGAACATTAGTAGGAGCTGAAGATGGCACCACTTTTATGAAAGACTGTGAAGGCTGGACAGAAGCCGGAGAACAGGAGCCCAGGGTCTGCAGTCTACCAGGGTATGGCTCCTCCCAGCAGCAGAACTTAACCAGCCTTGTCTAGAACCTGCCCACCAGAAATCTCATCTTTCCTTCTGGTCAGAAGTAGAAGGCTGAGTATTTCCATAGAGTTTCGTGGATAGCCTTATGAGAGCACCTGGCATATGATGTAATAATTTATCTGTTTATCTTTGCAACCTCAGTCCTGCTGACATTTAAGGACAGAATTCTTGGTCATAGGGAGCTATCCTATGCATTGAAGGATGTTTAGCAGCATCCTGCTGGCCTCTACCTACTAAATGCCAGTGTTGCCAATTTCCCACTCATGACAACTAAAAATGTCTCCATCACCAAATACTTCTGAGCGGGTTGGGGGGTGGGGGGGCAGTCTGCCCCTGTTGAGAATGGCTGGTTTACGTGCTTGGGTGTGACTAACACTATGAGCTATTGCTAAATGCACATCATTTCATTCATACCTGCATGCCTAGTGCCTAGCACATTCCTGGAATACAGCATGCATGAAACAGATTTTCCGAATAATGTGTGTTAAAGGAACCTTAAAAACTGTAATCCATTTTGGGAGACTTCCCTGGCGGTCTAGTGGTACGACTTCGCACTTTTACTGCCAAGGGCCCGGGTCTGATTCCTGGTTGGGGAATTAAGATCTCGCAAGCCATATGGCATGGTCGGGGAAAAAAAAAATCCATTTTGGGTGCATGCAAACACCAAATTTAAATTCAAACCTAGGCATGCCTAATATATATGGCCACGGGCAGGTTATTTCTTTAATCTTTAGTTCTCTGTAAAATTGGATATTACTAGGTATAGTGTTGTTGCGAGTATACCATCACAACAGCAAGTAAAAGTGCAGAGTATATAGTAGATAAGCAATTTAAGTACCAGTTTTCTCCTTAATCAATAAGCAAACCGATCACTTCCAATTCCCTTCCTGCCTCCCAACTTCTGTGATCCTCTTTTGGCAAAACTCTGAGTTTCAAAAAGTTCTACATTCTTTAGGGTAGTTAGAAGCATTGTTAGCAGATGCTATTCTATCTCTGAAAACCCCCAAATGGTACTTGATCCTTTTCCTTTAGCTCTATCAAGAAGCTAGCTTTAAGAAAATCTTCAAAATGTCCACAGATTAGACATTTTCTCTAACAAGGTGTACACATTTTTAATTGTCATCAGAGTGTATGTACCCCTAGTTTCATCAACCACAGAGAAGCTGTAATGCTGTTGCCTTTAAACCAGCTGCTCCACTGTACTATTTTTCTAGATTTCTTACTATTTTCCACTGAGAACAAGATGACCATGTTAGAATGTCATACCTCATAGTCACTTTCCAAAAATTCATGTAAGATCATTTCATAAATGAGTGGTTTCAGAACTGGATCCCCTCTTGGCAAATAAGGACTAATTGCCTAAGAAAAGAAAAAGAAAAAGAAAAAACTTAAAAAAGTAGCAAAGTAAAACTGTACTGCAATAGGCAGCAAATATAAAAGTATACATTTACTTTAAATTTTAAGGCAATAGAGTACTTTGGAAAAATATTACAGAGATAAAAGATTCAAATAAGCTGTTTTTATAATATATTTTAAAAAATACATATGGGGTGTCTACATGTATGAATAAATTTGAATCAAAAAAATTCCCTCTGTTAAGTAAACTTTCTCTCTTCTTCTTGATGAATTAATGAAAATCTAAATTATAAGAGAATGTCACAGAAGTTACATGATATCTATTCACATTTTGAAATTAAGGGGAAATACATCTTGTGTTTTTAGCTTTTTCAGTGCTGTATTAAAAGTTTCCAATTTCCAAACACTTGAAAATAGCTCCGCAATGCACTACCTTACCAATCACCATGCTCTGTCCTGGGGACCCAGAACCTGGGGCACTGTCCCCAGGAGCTCACAGCCTCAGAGGGAAGATATGCTGATATCTAAACAGCCAATTTCACGCTAAGTGTCTTGAAAGAAGGATGAACAGGGAGATGTGGAAAGGTAGATCTTGGAGACTGAGCAGAAGTTAACAGATGCCAGGGGTCTGTCAGGCAGAGAGAAGGGCAAGGCCACCCTTGCAGAGGGAACAGCAGGGGTAAAGGCATGGAACCATGAGCGCCCACTACGCATGCAGGGAGGTCGGCATGGCTTGGAGATGGGGCTCAAGAGAAAGCTGAGAGGGGGTCATGAAAGGAATCTGGATTTGATACTTTCAGCAGGAGGGGATGAGAGGAACATGCTTATTTTTTCAAATAGCTAATTCCGGGTTGGGCTTCCCCTGTGGCTCAGTGGTGAAAAATCTGCCTGCAGTGCAGGAGACTTGGGTTTGATCCCTGGGTCAGGAAGATCCCCTGGAGAATAAAATGGCTACCCACCCCAGTATTCTTGCCTGGATAGAGGAGTCTTGAAGGCTTGTGAGACCATGGGTTTAACAAAGGATCGGACATGACTGAGCAACTAACATGTTCACTCTGGGTTAGGGCTGTCCACAGACCTACCAGAAGGCCCTTGTAAGAGCTCAGGCGGGAGTTAAGGCAGTTGTACTGGAGGGGCAGGAAAGGCCCAATAATACTGATGATGTGAAACTGACAAGGACTGGCAATTAAACAGGAGGAGGAGGTAAGTTACATGTTCTCATCAGGACAGTGGCTTTGAGCTATTAAACATGGAGAAATAGGTATATTGTGATGTCATACACACAGATTGAAAGGAGAAAGACCATGCTTAAGTGGGAATGGATTCACATTAATTTGTGTGACCATTATCAGCCATATGTACACACAAGGAAAAATGGCCACCACAAACTTCAAACAGATATGGAATTCATACGGAGTTCTGAGTGATGGAGCCATCATGGTAAAAATGGCCATAGGACTGGAGAAGACCCTCTATAGAGGACTGGCCCAATAAACATGACCATAAGTGTCCTTGAGGGTCTCCCAGAGAAGACTTATATTTATGGGGCAAGGATAGGATGAGGTACAGGGCTGGCCAGCTGAATAATTGCAGTTTTTAAAAGCATATTTGTAATTCTAGGAGAGCACTATAAAGGCTCACAAAAACTGAAAAGTGAAAATGTTTCACACATACCTACAGGCACAGGAACACTTTGCTGATTAGTTTGAATATTGTACACTAAATTGAAAGATTAAAGAAATGAAATATCAAAATTATTTGTTGGAGCTACCTGGTCAAAATGTTTCGACTATCTTCCAGTAAGTAAAATACTGGAAAATGCATTAATTATTCAGTACATGTGAAAAAAGCCTTCTGTTTATAATCTACTATGATGAGACCATACCTGTTTCCCATGCTCATTAAAAAGAACATTAAAACTTCATCTGAACACCGAGGGAATTGGAGGGAGATAAGACAGTGAACATATCGTACATGTAATAAATATGAACCAGGCTTCTGTTTTGTAACTAATTTCTAAAAGTTTTTCTTTCTAGTTGAAATGGTACTCGCTTCCCAATAAACAGCTGATTACTACTGTCTTAATTTTATTTCCATTTCAATATTAATATTGTTGTCATTGTTTAGTCACTAAGTCATGTTTGACTCTTTTGCGACCCCATGGACTGTAGCCTGCCAAGCTCCTCTGTCCACAGAATTTGCCAGGCAGGAATCTTGCAGTGGGTTGCCATTTGCTTCTGGAGGGGATCTTTCCAATCCAGAGACTGAACCCAAGTCTCCTGCACTGGAAGGTAGATTCTTAACCGCTGAGCTGCCTGGGAAGCCCTCAATATTAATATACTACATACAAAAATTAAGAGTTAAAAATAAAGTTTGCTTACCTTAAGCTGTCCAATTTCTTTAAATTTATAAACTTCATATTCCCAGAGTGCTGCATTTTTCCCAAGAATTTTCTGGCATTTGCTGGTTGTAAAAAACATCCCAGGGAGAAAGAAAGTATAAATAAAGAAAATAAACAGAGACAGAATAAGCAGGCATTTCCCCTAGTGGTTTAGATAAATCTCTCATCCCAGAGTTTTGACAAATTTCCATCTCAAGTGCCAATGAACATAAAGGTATTTATTACTGGTACTCACTTGACTGCATGTGAGTTGATGGAAATCAAGAAAATACAAAATACTTATACATAAAGATGAATCCCTTTCAGAAGACTTTGATAAGGGTTTTCCCAATGATTTTCCTGTTCTGTGTTTCCTACTTAACCAGATGAATGCTGCTAGTTTGGGGACCCTTTATGCCTTGAAGAAATCCCATCATACCTATAAGTATCCATTTAAACCAATTCTTCACTGGCTTTAAATAATGGACTACAAAATCAGACTTTAGAACATTAGAATTCTACCTCAGTGCATAATACAGAAAAAATGTTTATGTATGAATAAAACTTTGATTTACACATCAAAGAAACACATTTCCCTAAATCAGGGGACAAAAATGTAGGCCTGAAGACTATCTTTCCAGGCTGCCTTATAAAATGGGTAAAATCTCAGACTGTTCATGTTTTTTGACACCTCTTTCATTGAGAAAAACATTTTTCATTTGGTAAAAATGAGACAGTAGGTGGGTAAATAACATATCAATTCATTCTGTGGTTAAAACTATTATTATTCGAAATTACCCATTACAAAAATGTAAACAAAAAAAGGTCAGTTGTAAAGAATGACTTATTTGTATTGCTAATATGGCTCAATTCTATTTATATTAACAAATAATTGTGAAAATATCTTGATTACCGTGCTGCTATATCATACTCTCCTTTTGCCACCAGATGGTTTATATACGCCAAGCCGATGTCCTAGGGAAAATGAAACGAAGGAATTTCATAATGAACTGGAATGCATGGAGGGTGAAAAAGTTGGTTTAAAGTTCAACATTCAGAAAACTAAGATCGTGGCATCCAGTCCCATCACTTCATGGCAAACAGATGGGGAAACAGTGGAAACAGTGTCAGACTTTATTTTGGGGGGCTCCAAAATCACTGCAGATGGTGACTGCAGCCATAAAATTAAAAAGACACTCCTTGGAAGGAAGGTTATGACCAACCTAGATAGCATATTAAAAAGCAGAGACATTACTTTGCCAACAAAGGTCCATCTAGTCAAGGCTATGGTTTTTCCAGTGGTCATGTATGGATATGAGTTGGACTATAAAGAAAGCTGAGTGCCAAAGAATTGATGCTTTTGAGCTGTGGTGTTGGAGAAGACTCTTCAGAGTCCCTTGGACTGCAAGGAGGTCCAACCAGTCCATCCTAAGGAAATCAGTCTTGGGTATTCATTGGAAGGACTGATGTTGAAGCTGAAACTCCAATACTTTGGCCACCTGATGCGAAGAACTGACTCATTTGAAAAGACCCTGATACTGGGAAAGACTGAAGGCAGGAGGAGAAGGGGACGACAGAAGATGAGATGGTTGGATGGCATCACCAACTCAATGGACACTGGTTTGAGTGGACGCTGGGAGTTGGTGATGGACAGGGAGGTCTGGCGTGCTGCGGTTCATGGGGTCGCAAAGTCGGACACGACTGAGCGACTGAACTGGACTGATGGAAAATTGGGTCTCGGTTCCTGAGTGAGCCATGACATTGGGTCACACTAGCACTGCTGACAAGAACCTATTCATACTATACCTCAGTTTGCTTTATGTAATTATGCTCATTTCTTTCTCAATCATATTTGAATACACTTGTATTATCACAAATTTTAGAATTCATAGTTTTTTAAAAGTTACTACTTTAATGGCTCCTAACCTGCCCTCTTCTAAAAGATTTCCTACAAAAGAAATCTCTGATATGAGAAACACATTTCATGTTATCACTAGATATAAACTTGTTTCTTGTGCTTTCATCTGTAAAACGTGAGTTATCTGTCTCTTCTACATCAAGTCTGAGGATATGCTGCAAGAGAAAAGAAATGACAGGACACCACTTGAAAGGGAAATATTCAACCTGACATCAACATGAACATGAAAAACAGGACATTCAAACCCACAAGTTTACTGACGAGGAAACAGTCTCAAAGCAGTGAACTGACTGGCTTCCCAGTCTCACGCTCATTTACTTGTTCTACTTTGGTTCTGAAAGGATTTGGGGTGGCCTGTGTCACAAATACAGGGGACCTCTTATGACTCTTATGAAAGGTTAGTTCCATGCAAAAGCATCTGCATTAGAAGCTTAACTCAATATATGTTAAAAAAAAAACAAACAAAACAAAAAACCTTAGATTTTTAACTTCTACTTTATGTACAAAAAAATATTTTCTGGAACTTCTTCCTAGATGGCAGAAATAGTAGGAGCCCATTTCTCTCTGCCTGCCTTGTCTTAGGAAGGAAATATCCAGGCATGATTAATATAGAGGACATGCCCATTTCAAGAGTGAAGGGAAATACCCAAAGTTCTTAGCTGATTCAATTTTACTTTAAGGACGACTATGTAGGAAATCATATTCCAAATCTGCTGGAACTACAGGGTGAAGAAAGGGTGACTAACTTTATTTCTCTGAAAACCACAGATCACACTATCTATAGTGAGTCTACAGGTTCAGAAAAGAGATGCCTCCTTTGCTGAGTCAATTTCTCCAACCTTTGTTCCCTGTGTTCCTTTAACCTTTACCTGATTTTATCTCTTTCCCCTTATCATAAGCATGTTAAGTGTCTCTCTTACACAAAATACCCAGGACTACCAAAAACCTGCCCATGATGTCATAGTCCCCACCTGCAGTCTTGAATCTTTTCCACTTTGCAGCAAGCCTAGTAGTCTCTATTCTACTCGACTTCATCATCTCCTATTCACTTTCACTCTGCCAAGCATGTTAAGAATAAATAATACCTGTACAGAAAATGTACTTGTCACTTTCATGTTACCAAATCCAATGTACAACTGACTAGCCGAGCTTGTCTTACTTTTGACCTGCTTACTTCAATTATACTCTTGTACTGGCAGGACTACTCCACTTTTAGATAATTCTTCCTTATTCTCTACAATTTTCAATGAATAAGTTCCTGAGTTATTTTCTTCGTATACTCTTTGAGAATTAGGCTATTTTGAGGCATTTTAAAGAGAAGTTTAAGGTGGGAAAGTGTAGGCAGAAGGAATTTGTATTGGAACCCAAACAGCCACAAGAGACTAATCTTCTAATCTGCATTTGTCAACCAGGGTCCTGGGCTAGATGATCTCTAGGGATCTTTCACTCAGAGGATACCATTTCTTTTCTGCCTTTCCATCTGTACATTCATTGTCACAGTTAGCAAAGAAGTGGTCTTTTATTCACAATATTTTTCCAGAGTCCAAAATGTAATAAAAATGTATGTGATGTCCTAGATTAGTCACCATAACAAAATTAACTGGGTCTGTTCTTATGGAGACATGGAAGCAATCTAGCTTTATGAAACTACTCTCTTGATAAATTTCATGATAATGTGATTTTACCTATGATTTAAAGAAACTTCTCCACACATAACTGGAAAGTTTTGTATTTAAAGGGTATTTATAAATCCAGTTTCCAAATTACCTAAGACTGCCTCCTAGCAGGTGTTCAAGTTTCTTGTTTACAAGCAGAAACTGATCCAATAAAATGAAATATTTTGACTTCACAGGCTAGAGAATTCATGGGAAATGAATTCTCTACATTCTCAAAATGTAGGAAGAATCTGTTCTTTTCAAATTACTTGCAGTCTCATAACTTATTGAAAGGTAAAGTTATATTTCAAATAGTAAAATTATATACTTACCAGAATCTTATGTCTTTTAATGTTCTTTTGGCTAATTTCAGCTGCCATCAAAGCTTCCTGTGTTTACAAAAACATGACAAAGGTGGAAGGGGGAAAAAAGGGAGCCGGTAGGAGAGAAAGATATTGAGGTTATAAACACTATATTTATTATGTTTTAAAGTTATGGGCTACATAAATAAGCCCCGCTTTCCCATGGCTTTTGCTTCAAGCACAGGAATTTTTAATGTTATGGTTGAGTGAACCTCACTGAATTCTAACTGAAACAAAAGCAGTCAACCAAAATGAAGACTTCTCTTACTTCCATGTGAATTCATTTCCACATTAGGATACTGGAATCACATTTCAGACACAAATTAAAATACAAAAAATCTCCTAGGTTCAAAGAACAACAAAAAAAATCCACCTGTCATTCTAAATCTGTTTGACATGTATTAACCAAGGGGCACTTTTCCTTTATGAAACATAAAAAGTAACCTATATACATACACGTAGGTATAACTACAATAAGATTTTGAAAATCTCTGATTCTATTTTTATTTTATTAAGTTTATAATGATTACTTTACCACAACTGTTTGAAACCCTAATTTATTTCTTTAAGAAGCTACTGGATTCAAAGCTATCAGGGTAATAAAGGTTGATATTTAAACCTTTAAATATCAATAACAATAAAGTATCAATACTTGGACTCCAATATTTGGAGTATCAATACTTGGACTCAAAAGAGTTTATATATTATCAACTGGTATCAATACTTGGTATCAATACTTGGATTCCAAAAAGTTTATATAGTATTCAATAAAAACATTTCTTTTCAAATCGTGTCAGGTGGTTACAAACTTAAAGCACCAAATAAATGGACTATTTTTTGTTTTTTAGCTAACTAGCAGATAAGCCTCTCCAGAGAGCTTCCCTAACTAAACCACCACAACAATGCTTTTGCAGCTATTAAAATGTTTTCCTTTTTAAAAAAAAAAGTCATGAGGGGATATTATCTACTCAAACTAGTCAGACCCAATACTCAATGAAGTGGACAACATCATTCTATCTAAAAAGGCAGTTCAAACCATCCTAAATGAGTATAATTTGACAGCTTTACTTTTACATATGAACTAAGCACAATATAAATGAACTAAGCACAAGATAAATGGTTTCACTAAAATATTCAAATAGTTGATCCTGAAATACTACCTCAGTTAAAAACAACCAAATAAACACATCAGTAGGCTGGATTTAACCTACCCCCTCCCTCCATTGCCAATTCTTCCTCCATTGAACAACAAAGCCAGTCAACCTCCCTGCCATCTTTATTCCCTCTAATTTCTGGAAAACACAGTGGAAAGTTGTTAGCCTCCCACATATTGTTAGCTTAGAGCATTCTAGTTGACCAACATGAAAGATTTACTACAAAAAACGCTTTTATCCTCTTTATGTTACTGATCTGTCAATACTTTGAAAAAAGTAAAAGCAAAACTACTTCATATTTCTTCTTTTCAAGAAGCCAGTCGATGTGGTCATCTTGGTCTCGTTCCTTCGCTACAACAACATCCCTTGGACTCACGATGTAAAAGAGTGACTCCCCTTCTGAGTACTCTAGAGATAAGAGAAGAGAGGAACAAGTTGGGTGACTCAATAGGAGAAACTTTGGCAGTGGTTTGGGAGGAGGACTTCGTTAGACTACCCAGCTTTAAGAGTGAGTAGAAAACTCTCCTACCTTTGAAATAAATGTATTTGCCTGTGTTTGAAGAGGGTGGGAGATTAGAGGTGAGAACGTCAGAATCTATTCCAGTGCTTTAAAATATATTTACATGGAAAAAAATTTGAAAGAAAAAAGAAGAAAGAGAAGGAAGAAGGAAAGAAGAGAAGGAAGGAAGGAAGGTGGGAGGAAATACCAAAAAATCTTTAAAAAAAAATGAGGGCTTAAAAATTGTTTCGTAATTAACATTCTGACCTCAGTTGAAAGTGTTGAAAATTCTTGGTGTCTATCATATATAATTTATCTACTGTATATAAACTTTATTGATGGGCATTTACGGCACTGTTCTATTTTTACAGAACAATTACACCCTACAGTTGGCGATAAATGTTTCCTCCTCATCAAGGTCAAGGCCATCTAAAGCATAAACGACAGATGCCCCAAGGCCTGGGGACATCATCTATCACTGAAGCATGTTGTGCACAATGCCGATGGTAAGGGTTTCCTGCAGAATTCAATTATAAAATCTGTTCAGAAGGGTTTCTAAGAGTGCAGCCAAGTTTGCTTTAAGGAAAAATACCTCAACTGGATGCATTCTCTTGTGAATCACATTTGCTTTTTTCTAAGTCCAAAACAGACACTCCCATTTCCCAGCTGATCATGGGCTTCATATAAGAAAACTCAGATATAGGGTATTTCTTCATTTCTCTTGACCAAAATAACTGACAATACTCTCAAAATATGTTAATTGTTTTTAAAGAAGGAAAGATTGTCTCAACAGCCAAAGCTGTTCTATTTTTTCATCAATGTATTTTTCAAGAATAGAGTGACACCAAAAGACCCTGTTGCTGGGAAAGATTGAAGACAGAGGATGAGATGGTTGGAAAGAAAGTGAAAGTGAAGTCGCTCAATCGTGTCCGACTCTTTGCGACTCCATGGACTGTAACCTATCATGCTCCTCCATCCATGGGATTTCCTAGGCAAGAATACTGGAGTGGGTTGCCATTTCCTTCTCCAGGAGATCTTCCCAACCCAGGGATTGAACCCGGGTCTCCCACATTGTAGGCAGATGCTTTACCATCTAAGCCACAAAGGAAGTCTGAGATGGTTGGATAGCATCACCAACTCAATAGACATGAGTTTGAGCAGGCTCTGGGAGTTGGTGATGGACAGGGAAGCCTGGTGTGCTGCAGTCCATGGGGTCACAAAGAGTCGGACACTTCTGAGCGACTGAACTGAACTGAAGATAGAGATGCCCCTCGTATGACTACAGAGTAACGGTTCTCCTTTTATTTCCAAGCAGTGACTAAATGTATTCATTCATCTACTTGACAAATAATAGCAAAAGTCTAGTATGTACCACATACTCTTTCAAGCTTTGAGCATTCAGCTACAGAAGGACAATTTCTCTGCCAACCCAGAGTACACCAGAGTGATATGGCAACCATAGAACCATGCTGCTTGACATCACTGTAAGTCAGGTGTCACATGAAATAGTTAGGACAGGAGACCAAATGTAAGGACAAAGACCACAAAGCTTCCTTACCTTGGTCTTGGTCCCATCTCTACCCCTCCCTTCTGCTCCGGGAACTCAAGCGAGTTCTCCAGCATCTCTGAGCCTTGGCGTCTTAACTTTCAATATGCCCAGATTAGCTCTAAGAGTCTTTCAGCACCTTAATTTAAACTTCTGGTTGTGCTACTCAGGTGAAGGGGAAAAAACAAATATAAGAAATCACATGAGTCAGATCCTTGATCTCTCTCACCTAAGTGATAATCTCGACATTCATTTTCCTGAAAGCCCCTCACGGTCAGGGCATCAGAAGAAATCTCTTCACAAGTTTCAGAAAGTGGCTGGATGATATCCAATCTGGGTCTGGCACAGTATTCTCTTTCCTGGGGGAGGAAGAAAGGCTCGTTGGAATTATATTTCTATAAGTGATACAAATTAATTCTAGGTAGCCATAATTAAATGCCTTGCTTTGATAAAATTGGCAGATATAAGCCCTTCCTACCACAGGCTGTGGATAGCTTCAGCAGTGGTTTATTTTGACCTTTTGGATGTATTGTATGTATGTACTGTATTGTAATGAGATATACAGAACAGATGGCACTGGACCATGTCGGCAGTCACGGCTGGCTGCTGAACACCTGAGGTGACGGCTATGACTGAGAAGCAGAGCTTTGAATTTTATTTAATTTTCATTAATTTCAATTTAGATAACTCCATGAGGTTAGTGACTACAATTCTGGTCACTGCAGTTCTAGACCAAGACAGAAGGGGAAAATACGCTTTAGTGAGGGCCTATGACAATTCCACTAGCTTAGTAGGTGACTATCTACAGATTACTCTCCCGAGTCCTTAAATCACCCTCAGGAAGTATTGTTGTTCCTCATTTTGCAGAGGAAGGAACTGAGGATCAAAAAATTTACTGAAGTTAAAGTTATGTAAGTAAATGGTAGGACTGGGATTTGTGGAAAAACTAGGACTATATTTGAAATCAAGTTTGTTTTACTGTAAAGCTCATGCTCTCTGAGTATTCAGCACATGGGCAAGAAACATATACTTGGACTACTTTCCAAAGCAACAAGAGCTAATGCAGTGTGGCACTGGTACAGAGAATACAGATGAAAGAAACAACATGAAAGAAGTCCAGAACTACCCCTGAAGCTCCAAGGTCCCCCAATAAAACAGTAAGCCTCACAGATCCCTTGGATCAATTTTGTTAGGTTAACTGAGAAACCATTAGGTTAGCACTGCGTCTCATATATTTAAAGCATTCAAAAATTAAAAAAACAACTGTAAAAGGTCAACTGGTCGAAGAAAAAACCCAGGTGAATATACAGGATAATTGATCAGATCTATGGAGAAATGACAAATATCTTAGTTTGAAAACAACAAAAAGGAAAAAAACTGAAAGATTTGAATATTTTTAAAAACATTAATAGCTGTTAACAATGACAAAAAAAAAATCAAAAGTAGAATCAAAAACAGAAAAAAAGATTGAACCAAACAATGTTAAAAGAAAACCACCTCGCTAGAACATATAAACAGCTCCTTCATATATAAGAAATCCATCAGCAAAGTGATGGATGAGAAATCTATCGTCTCACTATTTTACAACTTTTGTTCACTGGTCAAACAGCCCTGCTTATGTGTGAACTTCCTAGGAGCAGGAATTTGGTCCTGTTGACTTTTTTTTAAGTCTTTATTGCATTTGTTACAACACTGCTTCTGCTTTATGTTTTGGTTTTCTGGCTGTGGAATCTTACTTCCATTACCAGGGATCAAACCCACACCCCAGCACTGGAAGGTGAAGTCTTAATCTTACTGGCCCGCCAGGCAAGTCCCTGGTCTTGTTGATCTTTGATACTCTGAGTGCAGCACTATTCTTAACACACATGTGCTTTATTAATGGATGGGAAAAAAAAAAAAACATTAAGGGAGCAGCTTCATAAATTAGGTTATATCAACGAGATGAAATAGGTCACAAGCACCATAAATAATGATGCGAGACTGCACAGCCATATGCACAGAGAATAGAATGATGCTCCTCAAAATACAGCAACACAGAGGAGCTTGTAACTATCACTACAACTGTGTGGGGACATGCATGCAGGTAAAAGATGTGATGGAAAAAAATATTCTGGAGTAACATTAAGCCTGGTAGAAAAAAGTTTGTTTACTGTTGCATTTAACCTGTCTGTTTGATATGAAAAGTGGGGAGGGCATAGTTGGCCCCAAGCATGCTTCTTTACTCTTTCTACCTTAATTTTATCAGTTCATTCTCTGTGGAAGGATTTCAGGTGTCCTTTGGTGGTACAGAAAACAAAGAGTTATGTATACCAACACACACATTTTTAAAGCATCTCTAAGACCCTCACTTCTTTCTCTGAAAAAAATTCCATTTTCTAATTTGCTCTTTGAGGTTGGCCTTTCTTGGGTTTTACTCCTTTCCAATATTCTCTTTTATTAACAAAGGTTTCCTTCCTTCCCTTCTTTTTTTGGTCAGTGGTTTATTAGGCTTTCCCTTTTTCATTTTACTGCCTCTTTCCTTACGCCTTTCAATCACTTTCTCAATCCTCCCCACACTCCTCATCAAAAAGCACTGTATTTACTCCCTCAGGAGCCACTGCTTTTCTTTCTTTTCAAAAAAATAAATAAATAAAATAATAATAAACTGATGTCCTGCACAGGGCTAGAAGCCAGTCCTATTGATTTTAGCAGGTTTGAGTGTTCACTTAAGTCTGCAGCATCCCATTGCCTAGCAACATGGGCACCCAGAGCTCCAGGTTACTATAGCGATGGCTTCCTGATGCAAGAGCTCGCTCAGAGGAATGCTGGAGAGCAGCTACCACTTCAAAACTGGGACTCCCAGGGTTTCTCTCCCCATTTGATTCTCTGCTGTTTGAAAGGGAAAAAAAGGGGAGAGAACACAGACAAGGGGAACCCACTCACTGTAGAGGGCTAGATGATCAATTGTGTTTCTTTTATACACGGCATCCAAGAGAAAATCCTTTACAATAAACTCTCCTTGTTTATACCCTGAAGCCACCCTTAGCCCCTTCCTAGCAGGACCCCTGGACTCTGACAACAAAGACAAACTAGGAATGCAGCTGACCTAGGCTTCAAAGAAAGACTCAGTATGCAGGGCCCTCCACTGGACCCTCTAACAGGCTTCATTCCAAAGTCATGTATAATGAAATGCTGATTCTCTGCTGCTTCCTATTAGCCATGCATTTCATACCATCATTTGCACTGATAACTGAGACTTAGCAAGAATCTAATTTCCAAGCAAGAATCAAGCTACTCAGAAACACAAGGCCACTGGGAAGTAAACAAGAATGTCTAGACCACAGGAAATAATGGACTGCCCTCTCGGTAATTCACTCTGACCACAGGGACCCCTGCTGATGCTGCAGATCAACTTCATCGCAGTCATTTCAGTTAATGCACAGTGTCAGTTCAGTTCCTTCGCCTTTCAGCAAGAGGAATTCTTCATTCCCCTCGACTGAAATACCAAGAGAGATGGAAAAAAAGGAAGAAAAATTAAAAAAAAAAAAAAGAGACTCCCTTTTGCTTGGCAAAAGGAACAAAGGCAACCAAGGAGTGGAGCTTCTGAAAGGTAAATACATTAAGTCTGCAGGGTAATCTCTCTGCCCTTGTTTTATAGGTCAGGAAGTTCTGCTAAGGCTGGATCTGAGTTCTTTCATGGCAACATGATCTGGGGGAAAATGCTACAGATGAACCTGCACTTCCCATTGCATTTTAGGTGAAAAAAATTACCGTTTTTTCAGAAACCTCCTTTACGTAGGAAAGTACAACAAGCTGATCACAGAGAGGTGCCAGTCCACTGATGTAGAATTCAGTTTCAAACTGAGACACTGCAAACAAAAGGGAGAGAAGATTCACCATTAACAGCAGCAAAAAGCAGCACACAAAGGAAAGAACACATCTACTACGAGTGCAGAATAGACTCATTTTAGAAATTTAACATAAAGGGGGCAGAGATACACATACTTTTTTGATGATAATCAGCACCAGAAAAAGATACCTGGGAACTTACACTTGAAAGATTCTCTTACAAACAATAAGCAAACTCGACAATAGTAGTAAGCATGAATGGTCAAGAGTGACATTACCTAGTTAGCCCATGAAGACACTCTGAAATCCATAAAATCCAATCTAAATTGTTCAATAACAATTTTAAATTAAAAAATTAAATATTTTAAATAAAAATACTATTAATGACACAAATACTTCTAAAATAATTTAAACACAAATTTAAATCTTTCACAATTAGGGCATTACCATGGTATTATGGTCATGAGAAAAGCTCTTTGTAATTGTGAAACTATTAATACTTTAACATTTAATAATCATTTTATCTAAACTCTAAAATAAAAAGTGTAGATATAGATAACATTATGATGAAACTGATGTTAATTCTTCAATATTACATTAAGGTCAGAGAAAATAAGAAACTTTTCTTTTAAAAGACAGTCATTAAAACTTAGAAGTTCTATTTCTTCTATTGCATTACCTAAGTATATAGATTTAATTATAATAAACCACAAAGATCTTACAAACAGCTCAACTGTAGAAGTACAAATACCACTACATTATGATTCTAATGACTAGCTGTTGTTAATATTTATAACAAATGACTGTTTAAGCAACTAATTTTGAGGATGGTTTGTTACACAGCAAAGCTAACTAATACAGTATTAGTACCACGAAAAGACTCTTCCATGAGTTATACATAGCACTGATAGATTTATTTGGGAGTAAACTCTCATTTGAACACACCACATTTTCTAAGAATTTCTTGATTCAGTTCTTCTCCACAGTTCTATGGTATCTGCTTCAAGTTTAGTTAACTTTTATGATAAAATGACAATCTTTTCCAAACCAGGAGAACTCAGTGTAGCATACTGGAAACAATATTGAACGTGGAGTCAGGAAATCTGAGTTGTAACTGCAGTTAAATTGAACATGGACAATTCATTTTGATTTCTGCTGATATAACTTTTCCCATGTATAAAATAAAGGTATCAGAGTATAAATAAACCCATAATACAAATAAAATGAGGGATTAGCAAATTTTTCTTCTTCCTCCTCTCCATTCTCCTCATAAATCACTTAGTGTTACTTGTCTCTGCTTATCTTTAATGCCTACTCCTTATATGACTGTTTTCAAAATTTAATTTTCATACCAAAATGTAACCGAGGATAATGAACAAAAAATAGTTAATGTCTCTTTCCAGGTGGTGCTAGTGGTAAAGAACTTGCCTGCCAGTGCCTGAGATGTAAGAGATGCAGGCTTGATCCCTGGGTTGAGACGATCCCCTGAAGGAAATGGCAACCCACTCTAGTATTCTTGCCAGTATAACCCCATGGACAGAGAAACCTGGCAGGATCCACAGGGCCGCAAAGAGTCAGACACAACTGAAGCAACTTAGCATGCACACAAACAGTTAACAACATAAATATGGAGAAGGATAACATAAGCTGTGTCCTTGGTTGGATCACATAGGTAGTCAGGGTGCCCTGAACAGAACCAGATGATGGAAGTCCAAATTGTGCAGCTCTGCCATGAACACTTTTTCTTCTCAATCTCTGAACCTGAACTGAATATTCTTACCCAGCCACTTAAAAATAGTTTTGGTAAAGTGCTAATGTGATAGATTATTCACATGAAGCATGCTCAGAGATGAGCCTGTCCATTGTGCAGCCAGGCACTGAAGGTTGTGAAGAAGTTTCCCCAGTGCTGTGTGTGAATGTAGTGTGTGAGCAGGGATGGGGGAGGGTTGGGATGGGCAGATGCATGACCTAATGACCAGAGAGGTGAGAGTTTCACATTCTTGAAGACATACAGGCCTATTAACAGGAGGTTTTGGATGCCAGTACTCCTGAGGCTGCTTAAACTCTGTTTGGTAGAGAGGGACTTGTGTTCTTCTTTACTAAATCACATTCCATTATTGAAATGCCCATATTCAGTTCCCTTACCAGCAACTTGGGTGAAGATCAGTGAGTCAGAGGCGCTACAGAGGCTGCTTCACGGGACTCACATGGAGCCTTTGGTGTGCCTCTCTGAAATAGGAACCCGCAGGAGTGCATCATCTAAGAAATTGTGGGTGAATGAGGTATTCTCCCCACTTGATATGCCAAATGGGCTGTTAGCCCCACTGCCAAGAAGTATCAGACAGTATCGATCCTAAAGGTAACCAAATGCACATCAAGGCCTTGGTGTATATGCATGACTCATAAGACACAAAACAGAGAAGTTAGAAAATAATTCTACTCAGTTCTTCCCTCCTCTACATCCTGATTTCTGTCCAGAGCTCGAGTTAATACTGAACTGAGTTAATAATGCATAAATTTTCCTATTATTTAAGAACAAAATAGAATATCTAATGTGTTCTTAAAGAAAACAAGGCAATAATGTGAAGAAGCAGATGTTTATTTCCTTCTCAATTCCTGATACTGTCACAAATGCTTATTTGTTAAGAACTAAAGCTGACTACACTTTACTAACTGAAAATTAGTAATAATTTAGGTAGAAATGACATGCAGTGTCTAAATGACAAACAAAAAACAAAAAGAAATGTTATTTACAAAGAAAAGATGTGGTATGTAAAAACAGCATTGTCAAGATTTCCAGAGGCACAGTTAAGCAAGTTATCACCATTCAGAAAAAGTTGTAATTCAAGTAATTCTTTTCATTTTATTAAAATGATTTCAAATCAACAGAAATCTTATGGAAAACAAAACTGTAATTATAGTCATACCCACTATAAGTTATAATTTAAGGATTCTTAAATAGTGGCTGCTTTTCTTAGCTTTGAATATTCTACCACTTAGAAATTCATCTTCATGAATACCCATTAGTAATGATATCATATAAAAAAATGATTCACTTCCTAGTTTGAGGTCCTAGTTTAGGGAAAGGTCTACAGCTATTCTACATTAAAAAAGACATTTCAGGGACTTTCCTGAAGGTCAGAGGTTAAGACTCTTGTGCTTCCAATGCACGGGATAGACCAGTTTGATTCCTGGTTAGGGAACTAAGATTCCACATGTCTCACGGTGTAGCCAACAAAAATAAAAACAGCAAAAAAAAAAAAAGACTTTTAAGGGTGAACAATGGGGTTCTGTTTTACTACTTACTAAGGCAAAAGAACAGGACTGTTTTAGGATCCATCACAATTCAGTGTATTCTTTATACTAATGCTAAATCCTTAAATGGCTGGTTAGAGACAGTGGTGTCAGAACGAATAGAGAAGTACAAGGAATATTCTAAATGAGCAGATAATAATGAAGAGAGTTAGAGAAGAAACACTGGATGGTAATATTTATTCTTCTAAAGAACATATGTAAATTATGTAATAAGTTTATGGACCAAGTTTATAAAATGTCTTCATGTCATTACTGCTTTTCATTTTCAAAATTTCTATATACTAATCAAAGTTTCAGTTAATTTACTTTCCCTGAAATATATTTTCCAAGAGTTGTCATAATTTTAATGAAAAAAAAAACTCATTAAAGGAAAATAGTTTTGAACATAGGTGGTTTATGGTTCTCATACCACAGAATCTTTCCATTATCTGAAAAAGATAAATCATAAAGTAGAAAAAGCCAACTTCTGTTGTAAAGCACTAAGACAAAATACAAGGCAAAAGCTGGGGAGCAGGGGGAAGAAGAGAAAAATGCAGAATTTCTAGAGAAAGCCACAGAAGACAGTAGCTAAGATCAAGGAGGTGGAGAAAGTGAGTTGATGGCTCTGGGGTCCCTGAATTATGGTAGAGGAAAGCCAAGATACCCAGGTTCCATCCTTGAGTTGGGAAGATCCCCTGGAGAAGGAAATGGCAACCCGCTTCAGTATTCTCATCTGGAGAATCCCATGGACAGAGGAGCCTGGTGGGCTATAGTCCATGGGAGTGCAAAGAATCAGATAGGACTGAGCCACTAAGACTTTCACTTTCAAGCAAAGACAACATTAGAGCTCCACACAGCCTTCATCCTGATGGAGACAAAGACTCACTGTGCTCCAGTTTATTCAGGAGGATAAAGCACTCCTAGACGTGTTAGAAGAAATAGTTCAAGAAGAGATTCTAAGCGGAATAAGAGAGAAAGAAAGTTTCAGAAGGATTATTTACATAAAAATTGTATTCAAGGAGTTATTTGGATCCAGAAAGAAGGCAATTCTATACAGACCTGATCTAGAAGAGAAGCTTCAGATCTTGAGGGGTGCTATTCAACAGAGTATTAAGACAAAAACATAACTTATGTATGTAAGTTTTTCTAGTAGTCATATTCAAGAGTAAAAAGAGGTGAAATTTAAAAAATATTTTATTTAATGCAACATATGAACATACAACTATTTCAACCAATAACATAAAAAAATATTGAGATAATTTACTTTTTATTTTCACACAAGTCTTTGGAATCCTAGACACAGGACATCTCAGCCCACACCTGCCACATTTCAAGCACTTAACAGTTAAAAAAGTGGCAAGTGGTTACCTTATTGGACAGTATAGGTCCAGATAACCTATAATTTTTAGTCTTTAAAAATCAAGTAACTTTACTCAAATATATCTTGATGTGCACTGTGGGTTATAATTTTCATATACACACTGTACTATTTTAACTTACAGTTTCTAGTTTTTATATCTATTTTATATCTGTTTTAAAACTAGTTTCAGGAAATTTTTCTTGAATTACTGTTTTTGGTATTTATTCCATTTCCTGTTTTGTTTCCCAGGAGTCTTATTTGCAGGCTAAATTACCTCTGCCCATCTTCAGTATTTACCATTTAATCAAAAATCTTTTTTTCCCTTTGTTTTTAATTCTTCAATTTTTATTGGAGTATAGTTTTGTA